ATGAACAGGATGAACTTTGGGACAGACAGTCGGCTGAGAGAAGAAAAAGACTGGTTTTCTGTTGGTTATTGTCTACATTGACAAATCTTTTCTTTTTTTTGTGATCTGAGTCATTTAACACATCCTGGTACTTTGCACTGGTACTGATTCAATCTGCAATATCTTGTTATTTTGAACACAGAAGAGTAAAATACATCTCCCAAACCTCAAGAAAGGCTTTTGCCGTTTAAAGCTATTCTTTTAGAAGTTTTAAGATTATTTTGCAAAGACCACAACAAAGTAGAAAATCATTAAAAACTATGTGTAGTCATTTCATGCACAGCAAACGGAAGCTACAAAGGAGTTAGCCCAACTCTTAGCTAATGCCTGAGTGGCACTTTTAAACACATTGGGAAGATTTGTGGAAGGTTCAGAACCAGTCAAGAATATAGACAAATTAAAGTGAAGAAAGAGGATTGCTCAAAGTTTTAACTGTCAATCAACATATTGCGCCAACATATTTGATCCAGAGGCATGTTTAAACCCAAAAGGACGAAATGTAGCATCGCATGCTAACTGACATCGGCACATACAGTACAAATACATGACAATACAGGCCAAAGCAGAGGGTTGCTCAGATTTAACTGAAGAATTTCCACCAAAACAGCCAATTTCCAGCGCCTTCTACATGGGTAGACAACATTATTTTTTATAAATTTGCATTTTAAATGCTTGAGTAACTCAAGACTTTTATGATCCTTTTTAGGAGATAAAAGCCATCTATCACTTACTCTACCACTGAATAAGCTTCCTTAACCTTCTCTATCCACACAGCTAACTATAGTCCATCTTTGTTTTACCTAGGATATACACCTTTGCATGTCATCTCAGTAAACTAAAACTAAAAAGGAGATTTTCACCATTTTGGAGTAAAACTCTTCAGTTACAAATACACTTAACCGAATGTCAGCCCTCAAAATCAACATAAGGCAAATGTTGTTAGATTAGTTTAACTGTCAAACATCTTCTTTCTATCAGACTTGTCTTCGATGTTCTTACGCCAGTCGCCAACGTCACGCAGCTGCTTGTCCTGCAGACACAAACACAACGTGTCATAGTTCTTCTGCTCTCATTAACTCATTGGCTGCCAAAGACGTCTATAAACATCAATTCAAATACAACCGTTCGCTGCCAAAGACGTCTATAGACGTCTTTTATGTTTTTCAACGAGAGTGGCTGGGGGACGATCTGCTAAAGCTTGTCCGTAAATATCAGGCTTCTAGACAGAGTATGTAGTAACAAATTGACCCTCTAGGGGGCAGTGCCACTTTTGATGGGAGATGAGCATAGACTGTAGGCAAATAAGAAAAAACGCATTGGTTCGCTATGAGAGAACATGTCGCCGGTGAGACGCAAGTCGCGGACGAACGGAATAAGGTAGAAACACAATTTTTTTCCTGATGAAAGAAGAGAGTCTACTCTTTCTTTTGGTGTGTTCGGTGTTACATAGCACAAACTATTCTGTGGCTCTTGAAAAATCAGTCAAAATGCTCCAAAAACTCTGGCAGTATGGGACTCTCTGTTCTGAAAATGGCTGGCAGTCAATGAGTTAAAAACCTCCCGTGACGTGGTTAAAACTGCATCCGATTCAATATTTTATCTCCAAAGGGATAAATGCTGCCATACTAAAAAGGACAGCACGAATATATCACATCCAGCTTTAGAGGTCCTTCTAATATTTATGGTTCCTGGTGAATTTCAGACTGATAAAGAAGCCACTTATTCTTCATATGTTGTTGAGGGGCCATAGAAAGACTTCAAACTAAAAAAATCCAATATTATTCCTATTTTTCTTGGACTCTAAAGGGTTAAAATACACTTTTTATCTGATAACCAAAAGAAACATTACTCCATCGTTCAGTTTCCGGTCATAGAGCTGACTACATTTGTTTAGATTTCATTGGGATAACTCAGATAATTCTTAGATTTTATTGGGATAACTCAGATAACTCCTCACCTCTTCCTTGACCTCCTTCTTGACCTGCTTCAGGTTGGCCCTCAGGTCCATGTTGACGGTGTGTTTGGAGCCCAGCAGAGCTTTCAGCATGGCGTCCGCAGACATGCGCACCTTCTTCAGGCGGGGTCTCTTGAATTTCCCTCTCAGATCAACAATCTTGATGTTTAGATCCCTTACCTATGGAAATAAAGTTAATGGAGCTACTAAAGAGCACCCGAGATGTCTCCTACAACCCTTAACTCTACCATCTGTGAACTGTTTACACAGTCATGTAATTTATATATATACCTGTATATTTGTTCACATACTGTGTATGGAAAAATTATCAATACAACAAATATTTTATTTTCCTTCCAGGTAAAATAACGTACTACTGAATTTCATCTAATTGAATAATCAGTTATGATACAGGATTGTATTTTATGCATTAATAATTAAAATGATGTCAATTACTGAGGCCTGGATGGATGGATGAATGGATGGATGGATAGATAGATAGATGGATGGATGGATGGATGGATGGATGGATGGATGGATGGATGATGGATGGATGGATGGATGGATGGATGGATGGATGGATGGATGAGTAGATGGATTGATGGATGGATGGATGGATGGATGGATGGATGGATGGATGGATGGATGGATGGAGCCTGCCTTATTAACCGACCAGGTTAATAAGATTATGTAATTTGCCTGAAAACAGCAGATGTCTGAAATATATATCACATTAGATATTAAAGATAATGTTAATATTTGAGATGTTGTTTGTGGAGGCCACAGCTGGAGATGAAAGAACAGGCGGTTCCAGACATTTAGAGTGAGCTGAGATGGAGATCTGGTGGAGTCAGTGCCTCACCTCGTTCAGGACCATGTCCAGTTTAAACTCTGTGCAGTATCGCTCCTCCTCACAGATCCCGATCTGCTCATGAAGCTTCTGGCAGAGATCCTGAAGAAAAGCAGCTTTTTCAAACGTACGGTTGAAATTTGTAACATTTTCAAGCAAAACAGACATTCTAAATGATCATTTCTTCTCATCACAAGGACTTTGTAGGAGCTTCTGCTGAAGACTATCAATCAATCAATCAATCAATCACTTTATTTTGGTAAATTGTCCACATTTAACACAAGAAACAACAAAAGGAAAAAACTAAAAAAAAACAATAGACAAACCCACAGTTTACCAAAAAAGGAATAGGCCGAAGCAAAGCTTATTCTTGCCTACCCTATTTTTTTTACCTTACAACCTACCAGGATTTCTTCAAATTCAGATTCAAGTACATAGTACATATATAGATCTACAAAAGAACGTAAGATTGTATCATTTTGATTTTTAAAGCTCTTTTAAAGTTCACCAAGAAAGGACATAACTTTAATTCATCATCCAATTCATTCCACAGTTTCACACCAATAACTGAAAAGCATCTAGACTTTATCTGACTTTTTTCTTTTGCACATTCAAATATAAACAAACCTCGCAAATTATATTTATTTTATCTTAACTTAAATCATTTCTGAATACCAGAAGGAAGACTTTTATTCAATGCTTTATACATTATTTCCAGTATTTTTGTATAAACAATATCTTTAAATTTTTATATTTTACTTTGAATAAAGAGAACAATGGCAGAAAATAAATGTAATACTGGCTTCTTTTTGTTATTTTTTTTATCTTTGAAGTATTTTTGCACGCTGCATCTGTGTGGTTGAATCTTTTATTCTCACCGTGAGCTCGTCCCTGGAGTACGGTATGTCCACAGGAGGACATTTGCCTGCCAGGAACTTCTCCCGTTCCTCGGCCTTTGCGGTGGCTTCAGTCTCCAACAGATTGTTGGCGACCACCAGCATGCAGCTCTGAAAATAGAGAACAAAGAGCAGAAACACAGCAAAAAGTTAGGTTTAGATATGAAAAAGTCTCAATAGTCAAAGCAAATACAGCACACAAACAACCAAAACTGAAAGGCCAACAAATATGTAACCATTGCTATTGATTGCATAAAAATGGAAAATAAAGGTATGAAACTTTTATCTAGTAAATCCATTAATAAAGCGAAAGAAGATAAATTACAGTCATAAGTGGTTAAAGTTTGATATTGATAATTTATCATTTAATAGTATGGAAATAAACAAGTAAATGTCAAAGTAGAAATCAGGTCATAGTCTATCTTTAACAATGGGATCATTGGACTTAAGCTAGAATTAAAACTGGGCTAAGAAACATAGTGGAATAGTAAGGAAATAAGGCAAAACAATTTGTTAATAGTATAGTAATAATCAAGTTATTGTAAGAAAAACATCACCAAAAACATCACCATTATATGGTCATACATGCTCTTAATATCCTTATCTAATATAGAATCATATAATATTTTAGCTACCAAACTGGTGTGAAATTAGATCAAACTTGTAATTATTGTTATACTGAAATTGGCAAAACAGAAGTGATTAATTAACTATTTTGAAAGTAAGTTAAGTTTTATTCAGTTTTTATCCAGATAGCATAAAATTTGAGCAAATACTTTATTAAGGCACTACTAAGATCCAGTCCAATAAAAGTCAATTATTGTAAAACAATCATTTTCCAACACAATCTAATGCATTTCAACTCCAAATCCAATTTGTTCAAAGACAGCCACACATTCATAGTCATAACCATGTTTTGGGCCATAAAGTAACCAGCTAGTTGAGACAGTTTACAGTCAGATAATTTTACATAATTGTTTTACATTCTGGATTACCAGCTGCTAAATAATAAAGAGAAAGCATTAAGTCAGAGAGTTATCAAAGAAAGTTAATATGATATGAATTAATTAACTACATAGGGACGGATTCTGTCAGGAATGTGGAAAATACTCAATAGAGTGTAGCAAAGAAGGCATTTGTGTGCTAGCATTAGCATTAGCATAAAAACTCTCACCTTCAGAGTGTGCTTACGCCTGGCAGACAGTCTTTTCCTGTAGAGAGAGGCACAATAAGTTAATAGATGTAGATGTATCTGTACATTCTGGACAAAGAAAACTGGAAAATAGTTGACATTGTACTCACTCGTCGGCCATGTTGGCAGCGGGATCCTGACGATATCTGTTTAAACAGAAATGGATTCAACTTTTAATTTCTTCATTCGTTTGTCTTTACACCAAATTGATTTGTCAACTTCTCATTAGTTTTTCTCAGTGAAATTTGCCCTTGTTCATTCTGTCATCATGAGCAGGTGTTTTGTTTTATTGTTTTATGCTAATAATTACAATTTAGTGTTTCATTTATTGCTGAATTCCACATTTGGGCCCCCTAAAACCTAATCAAGTCAAGTCAAGTCAAGTCAAATTTTTATTTATAAAGCACATTTAAAAAAACCGAAATTGCCAAAGTGCTGTACAGGTAAAAGTAAACATAAAAAGTTAACATAGTTTACATACATGTATTTAATTTTAATGTAAAATAGGTTAAAAAAATTAATAAAATACTCGATATATCCTCGGGAACAAATTCCTGGACCATCATTGCTCACCAGTCTGCGCCCTTTTGGCTGTTTATGCTAACTAATGTACATTGAAACATCATTAAGGATGTTTGCTGGTATATTTATAAAAAAAATGATGGTCCAACTTTAAAATCAAACATTCTAAAATATCAATAAAAGTTAACTTCCCCCATGCTACACTGATAGCTGATCTCTTTTTGGTGGTACCGTGCTAGCCTTGACTTAATGATAGAGTAATAATTCAAATGTTGTGGTGACATGGGTGTGATTTTATAATATTACTGCACTACCTTTAAAGTATGCTTAAACTAACAGGCGTCAGGTCAGAAATACCAATCTTCAGCCTTATAGCAAAACAGTTAATAGATGTTTTCACTTTGATTGGTAGAAACCAATAAATGCCCAAGAATAATTTGGTTCTTCCCTTTGAAACAGTGAGTTCCAGCTATAGGGGACCGCACTACCCAGCACCCCTTGAAAAGTTTACCTCAGGTTGAAGGATATAGATAGATAGATAGATAGATAGATAGATAGATAGATAGATAGATAGATAGATAGATAGATAGATAGATAGATAGATAGATAGATAGATAGATAGATAGAT